AGTTTTAAATTTTCCCAGTGTCCTGAACAAACTCACAGAATTAAACTGTCCAACCCACTACCAACTACTGAGAAACACCAAACAAATCCCAAACGCTAAACAGCTTTTCATCACTCTACATCATCAATTATAAAATTCACAATATCTATCTTAGTTTCATTTAAACATAAAACTAGATCAAATTCTCATGCTAAAAGCAGCAGCCCAGACTGCCTTCTCAGGATGGCACTGCAGTAAAGTAGAAAGTGACATAATTTCCAACTCAACATTCATCCTTTTCTGTTCTGTAATTCCCTGGGCACTTTCATCCTGACTCACTCCCCGAGATTTCATAGAAAGCAGCCACGCCCCTCTCCAGTGCCCATGCTGACAAGTCTGTTTGGGGTCCATGTTACTACCTCCATGATTATGGTAACCCATGAAGTTCCCCTTGTTCTTTCATCCATGATACTGTTGCCTGACCAAACAGATGCACATGAACCATACTTTCTTCCTGTCAAATACCTTAAATGACTGCTGGTGCAAAAGCACCTCCAGGCTAAAATTCTATTGGCTTAGTGTGTGTGTGTGTGTGTGTGTGTGTGTGTGTACACATTATGTGGTGTGTGCAGGTTCACGTGTGTGTCCACACATACAGCCTCTAGGCCAACCTCAAAAGCCGTTCACCTTGTTTTTTGAGACAGTGTCTCTCACTGGAACCTGAACTTCACCCATTTTCCTGGGCTGCCCAGTTACCTCCCCAGCACTAGAATGCCACCACTGTTCCTGGCTTATACATGGGTTTTTATGCTGGCAGAGCAATCTCTTTACTAACGGAGCTTTCTTCCCGGCCCTCTCATTAGCTTGTTTCTACTCTCGACTCAATTAGGATCATTATTCCAATCAGAAGTTTTCCCCAACATTCCCTCAATCTGCTATCATTTCCTATACCATGGTTACGCCCACAGTTTTCCCTGTCACAACTTTTCTAAATCTTCATACTATCACTGTGCATCCTTATCACTGTGTAGAAATGGTGATCAAGGGCTAGGAATTTAATCTAGAATCTAACTCTCTAAAGACAGTGAATCTCTATACAGATTTCTTTTTTTTTTTTTTTTTTTTTTTTTTTTTGGTTTTTCGAGACAGGGTTTCTCTGTGTAGCTTTGCGCCTTTTCCTGGAACTCACTTGGTAGCCCAGGCTGGCCTCGAACTCACAGAGATCCGCCTGGCTCTGCCTCCCGAGTGCTGGGATTAAAGGCGTGCGCCACCACCGCCCGGCTATCTATACAGGTTTCTGACTGCAAGGTTTGACTAGTTCCTGCCCTTTGATTAGAACTAGAAGCCTTTAGGAGGGCCATATATTCATTTCCTTTGAATTACTCGCCTAGACACACAGGAATCTGAAATCACAGAACTGCCTTTGAACGAACCAATACAGCACCTTAATTTTAAAGAGAAAGACAAATTCCTTGTTGAAAAACAGGCAAGGATGGGGTTGAGAGATGGCTCAGCTGTTGAGAGCACTGGCTGAGGACCGAGGTTCAATTCCCAGCACCCATGTGGCAGCTCACAACTCCAGTTCCAAGGGATCTGACACCTTCACACAGACATACATGCAGGCAAAACACCAATGCACATTAAAAATAAGAATAAATAGATCATTTAAAAAAATGTTGAAAACAGAAAAGAAAACAGGCAAGAACTGGAGCTCAGACCACACAGTCTACCATCCAATATTTGTTTAAGGCTTTGTTAAGTCTTATTAAATGGGCTTCCAAATACAGACACCATTCTGTAACCCTGTATGCAAGACTTCACCTCATCAAAACAGACTGCCCAGTACCTTGAACTGTGCATGAGTCATGAGTACAATAAAGGAGGTTATCTGAGTTTCCTCTCTTGTTGCACATTCAGTAAATATGAAGTTCTATTTTTCCTTAGTCCTTTAAATCGTAACAATAAAATGTCCCAATTTTAATCCCCCCACTGTTCATAGATAAAATTTTATGTTAAAATATGATCAAGGCCATGATAACTGAAGATGAAGCAACTATACTTGTGGCCTAGAGTCTAGAAAAGACAACAGCACTATGGGGTAAAATGCTCCATTCTTTAGCATGGCCTCCCTTTCCAAACTTTATATCTAGATCACTCATAAAAATCAAATGTTATTTATTTCCCTGTGGCAAATAATGGAAGACAAATTATATCACTATTACATGACCTGCTACATAAGATTGTGTTTTCCTGTTTCTTACCAGTAAACACATGGCAACCTCAAGTCCTCTTCAGAGACCAAGAAGGTTGATGAAACAAAATGGCATCATCCATCATGTGTTGAACATTAATGCAATAAATAGATTAGCTATTTTGCCTCAATATTGGTTAGCTATTTATTAAGGATTCAATTTTCACTACCCTTAGATGTAACCATTAGATATCAGATATGGTTTGCTCCATCAGCCTTTTGGATGTGTTTTGCTTTCAACTCCATGTAAGCCAGTCAACTCAGGCTACACTGCCACCGTTTATGTATTCCATTAACAAACAGGCTATGCTTGCATTTGGAATCCATAAAGCCCAATCCCACTTAAGAAAGTGTATGTATATATATATATATATATATATATATATATATATATATATATAGCTATATAATTAATCAAAGGATATTTGATTTAAAAGTATTCTTCTTCCCTAAAACACCTTTTTGGGAAAATATAGTCTAGAGAATAAAAGTCTAAAATGACAGTGCACAGAAGGCCTGGAAGAAACCAGTTAGAAGAGGAAACCAGAACAAACACGATAATAGGCAGGCCTGTAACAAACATGCGAGTTAAACCAATACGGAGTTCTAAAATTAGAATGCATACACTTAGATATCTGTCCAGTTTCAAAAAAATTAACAGAACAAAACACTTAATATACGTGTTAAACTTGTAAAAAGGTCTCTGTTGTTTTCTATACATCAGAACTACAATAAACAAAGCTCTAGGCTCATCTGGTACTTTCCCCTCATAGGAGGAATGACTGGGGGTTGGGGGGAGGGGGGGAGTGCTGCCAGGCAAGCCAGTTTGCCAATCTAGAGTGTGGGAGCAAAGCTCTAAAAGAGAAAAGCAGCAGAGACCCGGTAAAGAGCTCTCAGGATTTCATTCTCAATACAGCAAGGAGTTCTGAAGAAAACGACAGGGTCACTGTAACCACAGGATCACTTTCCCTCCCTAATATTTAACTCTAAGGAGATATATGGGAGTGATCATTTTGGACACCTGATCCTTTGAACTAGCGATTACCACAGGCCCGGCATGTTAATTGTTCTGTTGGGTCCACTTGCTAATTATGTAAATTGGAGTTTAAGGTATTTGTAAGACAAATAACTGCAACTGCTTTACAAAGTCGGTCTTTCTGGTGGCACATATAATTAAATATCAAAAGGCTGTTAAAAAGTTATATAATAAAACTGTTGAGGCCAGAGAAAACAGGAAGAAAAAAAAATTCTTCAAAAGGAAATAAAAATAATCTAAAAGTAACTGATTAAATTCATTTCCCCCCTCCCTTCGGTCACGTAACAGAATTCTTTTGCTGGAGGGAAAAATATTTCAGTTCCAAACAGTCCTTCTAGAACAATGCCCTGTGGTCCTGAAACTGAATTTTCCTGAACACTGAGAAAATTAACTATTCCTATCTTTGCAAGACTAAAATAGGATGTCTTTGTAAAAATAAAAACATCCAAGCAATTGAAGGCAAAGGATATTCTAGTCTCAACAGTTTAGCCATCTGGCCAAGAGCAGTCTGTGCATGCTGCAGAAACCACCAACTTGAGGCTTTACCATTAGAGACAGGCCTAAGCTATGCACTACCCTGAAAGCCGTCAATGCTTGCAAGATAGCATCCTCAGAGTTAAACGTGAGGCATATTCTGACGCCATAAAGGACACCTTTGAAATGTCTGAAAAGATCGTAAGTGAAATTCCTGCCTCATGTTTAAATCAAATGCTGAAACACCTGACCTGTAAATAGAATAAGCCCAGCCCCTCCCACCCCCACCCCCTTTTCTCTTGTCAATAATAACGTCCAGTGAGATCACCAGTGGCTGGTCGGTTTATTACTGGCACAGCATCTCAATAATGGGCTAGCCAGGTATGTTTAAATGTCAGAGTGAAAGCAATCACACATTTTATTTGAAGTTAAACAGCATAAAAGAGGAAGTGGGAAAGTCTTCATTGTTCAGACCAAAAAGATGTTCTTGAAAAAATTCTTGTGAAGAATCTGAAAGATGCCTATGCCAAAGCTATACAATTCCCATACAATCAGGAAAAAAACAAAAAAAAAAGAAACATGATTTCTCTACATGCTAATGTACTTCGTAGCTTTTGCCGCACACAACAAAAGGAAAAGTCTGTCACCACAGGACATTTATGTCTATGTATTTCTATGTATTTCCAAAACAAGGCCCTGAAATCTCTAGAAATACCAGCCCAATTTGATAAGGTGTCACAGCTTCATGCTTTTATCTGGGTGGACATGTGGAAAACATATCAAATTCAAATCCCGCTTCTAATTCATGCGACCGCTAGACAGTTAAGTTCAACACCCACTATAAACAGCATGTAACAAGCAGCTGCCGGTGCACTGGACTCAGGTTACTTTGGTCTTTGAACTTTACCTGTCGGCATTGGGCATTAATCCCCTAATACACGCACTTGGATTCCCCTCAGGATCTTGGAGCCATCCAAAAAAAAAAAGCAGATACTACAACAAACTTTAGACTGATGTTTTGATTCATGTTTAGGAACTGCTGAGAGCCCGGAGCCATCCTTCTTACAGCATACCACCTAAACACAGCTATAATATGGAAAAGCCAGCACCACATGATTTCTTATAATACAGACCCGAAGAGGAAATACAGGATTAATGAGCAATACAGAAGGGCTGGGGATGATAAAGCAAGCAAACAAAAACATTTCTTTTCCTTTTTTCTTTCTTTCTTTTTTTTTTTTTAAATTCAAGAAAGGATACAGTCTTAAAGCACCAGTCTGAGTTCCTACTGCCAGGATCTTCTGTACGGGATCAAAGGCCAGGGCTGAGGGCTGATAGGGGAATCCATGGCGAACAGTCTGGGGATGCACAGTGACATCACAGGAACCAAGGCAGCAGGCAAAAATCCGAAAACAGAACAGCCCACAGGGGCATTAGACTTGGAACCAACTACACTTGACACAACGCACACACAGGGACTTATCACTTTAACGGGGAGCTGGGGATTGGAGGGTGGAGTCTATCCTAAGGATCACAGAGCCAGAAGCACAAATCTACTTAAACTCCTGCTTTGCTACAATGCTGGTAACTCCACAGAGGGCAATTTCCTATGAACAGCGGACACTATTCTGTTTGACCACACGTTACTCAAGACTGTAGTGGTTCAAAATTCTGTAAACTCCTTGCAAAAAAGGTGATTCGTGTTGCATTTGAAGAGAAATCACCCAAATCGTAGCTTTATTTGAATGCTAAAGGGAGGGATTTCTAAGGAAAAGTTGTCACGAAACTAATTTGAAGGATTTAGTCAAAGAAGCATCAACCTCAATATCAACATCTGCAATTCTAAGAATGGAAATAGGTGCAAAAATAATCTTGTAATTTCCTATTAAGTCTGGAATAATTTTAGGACATAAGAACAAAAATTGTACGCAGGCTTGTAAGCCCCCGACACAGGAAGGACCGAATGGCTATCTATGAGGCAGGCACGTCTGGATACGGAGGCTCGTGTGCTTTTCTCATTGAGCATCTGGGAATTAATCCGCTGCATCATTCTTTCTGAATTACAGGACCTTGTGGCAATCACCGTGCCATTCACAGCCAAAAATCTCCGCACTAACTTTTGAACCGAACAAGCTACTTCAGGTGGTGAGCCGCTCGCCCGCATTCTAAAAAGTGATGCGCAAAAAGATCTGGTTGAACAGGTTTGCCTTGCCCACAAACGGCGTTCATCACACACTGCTGGAAAATTTCGACGTCAGTGGAAGATAATAAAATATGCGCGAATATAAAAGTATTCCCAGACCATTGTTACCAGGGTCTGGATGGGAATTAAAAAACAAGGGAGTATGCCTGGGTTGCCTTCCAATGATTGTTTTTTATGAAAAGGGAAAGACATCGACTAAAAGAAGTAGGGGATCTGTCCAAAATCCCCTGGCAAGGCACGTCTGTCAAGGGTGGGGGGCGCCTTCCTGGAGCTCTGAGCTCTATTGGCGCGCTCTGCCCTCGCGCTCCCAGGTACTGCCCAGCAGCCCCCTCAAACGACCCCAATCTTCCCAAGACAGCTCGGCGGGGGGGCTGCGCGCTCCCTTCACCTTGCACAGTTGGAAGTGTTCGGACTGGAGCGTCTCCTGGATCTCGGGTTCCCGGTTGCCCGGCGGGTGCTGCTGCTGTTGCTGCTGTTGCGAGGCCGAGGACGAGCCTGCGGTCAGGCCGTCCAGCACCTTCCTGATGTTGAATTTCCTCATGGTCTCGCTGCCCAAGGGGGGTCCTGTCTCCTCGAGGCCCCGGCGAGCGGAGGCACCGGGTGGGAAGGAGTCCCGAGCAGCTGAAGCCCAGCGGCGGCTTCGATCGCGGAGTGCGAAGGAGCGGAGAGCAGGAGATAATCCCAACAGGAAGGGCTGCGACGACGGGCGCGCGGCGACGGCGGCGGCGGCGGCGAGCCCTCTTCCTCCGAGGCCGCCGCGGCTGCAGTGGCGCCCGACGCCGCCTCCTCACCTGGTGGCGGCCGGGCTCCCGCCGTCCCGCGCCGCTGCCGCCGCATCCATGGCCCCGCGGCCCCGCAGTCCCTCGGCGCGTCCCGGGCTCGGCCTCCCGCTCAGCGCAGCCGCCCGGCCCGCATGGCCCGGGTACCCGGAGCCGGTCCCCGAACCCGCCTGCCGCTCTCTCCCCGGCCGCCCGGCCGCTCGCTGTCACCTCCCGGAAGCCTCGGTCCCCCGGCCCCCAACGCCCCGCCGAGCAGGCGGCGAGCCGCGGTTCCAGCGCCGGCCGCGGCGGTGGCGGCAGCTGGGCCTCCGCGGAGCGGGCTGCCCGGTGCGCATGCGCGCCGCCACCCCCGCCCCCGGCCCGCGGCTTAAATCATCCTCCGCCGCCGCCGCCGCCGCCGAGGGCCGGGGCAGCAGCTGGCTGACGGACCCGCGGGCTCCGAGGCCCTGCACCTCCAGTCCTGTCACTCAAGCTCCCGCTGTGTGCTTTCAGGTGGCTTTGTAATCTGGGCTCGCCACGGAGCGTCCAGGCAACGATTATGTCAGTGGCGAGATGACAGCTAGGAGACACCCAAAGGGAGAGAAGCCCAGCCTCCTTCGTGAAGGTGTTGCTGGCGGTAAAATGAGGGGGACGGGTGATGGCTAGACTGGGATCGGTCCCCCTAAGGGGAAGAATTCCAAAGCCCCGACCTCGGTCACCCACCACCCCGAATCTGTTCGGCAGGCAGAGTGGGTGGCGGTCAGCACTCCTCGCCACTCCTTGTTACAAAGTCCTGTCTACCGACCAGTTTAATTTGCCAACCGACAGCCCCCTGGAACCTCTCTGATCATCAGACCGGAGAGGGAGGTGAAATTTTTGCTCAGATCGGCCCGCCAATGTTCCTGCGGGTCTTCCCGAGTGCTAAGACAAGAGAGGAGTGGTTCAAGTTTGCAGCGGTGGAGAGAAATTGGTGCTGGGGGCGGAGAGAGGAATCCTTCTGCCCAGTGCTTTCTACAAGCAGAGGTGGTGGGGGTGGATAATCAGAAGGGGAGAAACGCAGGAAGACTAGATTCTGTAGTCAAGGGTCTCAGCGAAAGGCCAATCTTAGGCTGACTAAGACCCCACCCCGACCAGGAAAAAAAAACAAAAACAAAAACACAAATGCTACCAGGGTTTGTTAGTTCCGCACCAAAATCAGAAGCACCTCCCTTTGCCTTGTGATTGGCTACTTTCTCCAGTTCGGGACAGTCTCCTTACCGCATTGGCCTATGAGCAGATAGAACCTGCCTTCAAGAATAGCCAGCAAACCAATTAGGTTTGGGGCTCAAGGCATTTCGGGAAGTGTAGTTCTCTAGAGTTCTGTGGTCCAAGAAGATGCCTTCCACTTGGAACTTCTAAAACTTTGCTTTGTAGTTTCATACTTGTTGAAATAGGAAGTTAATTCATCAAAGGGAGGGAACGGAATAAAACAAATTTGAAGACTTTCCTAAACTAGTTCTGAGTGGCTCTACGCTTTGGTTTTTGTTTTGTTCTGTTTTGTTTGGGATGGGGGTGGGGAGTTGATGTTGTTTTCTGAAACACATTTTGTCCAGTTTGACACATTATATTGGGCACAAAGGGCTTAAAAAACTCAATACTTCTCTTCAACAAATTTGTTGCTGTGTCAAGGGGACGACCTCACATAACCAAATGTAAAATCAAAATCGTATGATTTCAGCGGTGGAGGGCTGAAGAGGGACATTGAATTAATCAGGGAAGGCCTGGAAATGGGGATAGCCATCTTATGCTGAGCAGGCAGTGATCCAAGGAATCAAGGGGAGGAGAACTTGCCAAGGGTGGCGCAAGGGAGGCTTTTAAAAATTGAACTACCTCCATAGTTTTCTTAAAAGTCCAAATGATCCTACAGAACAGGTAAATCACACCCTTAAATTTTATGATATGCTTGCCCACCTAGGTTTAGAATAAAATTGTTGAGAAAAATCATCACTGAATTACAAAACTCAAGGGAGACCACAATTTTCTGTCCAGAGGCCCTGTAATGTAGCAAAAGATTTCTGGCTTCCATATGCCTGACAGAAGTTCCAATCCAGCCCCTGGTCATCTCTGCAAAGTTGGGCAAATGTATTTATTTACCTCAGAAACAAATTCATCATGTGAGTTACTTCATGTGTAGAAATGAGATCAATCACCTAAATAGGGGTGGGGAAGAACAAAAATGTTAGTGCTTCATTGCTTAGCCCACTGTTGCTCTCCAAGAATGTTAATTTCTTGGTCCATCGGGGTCTCTGAGATGAAAACCTGAGGTCACCAGGTTAGGTCAGGCCCCTGTTTTTGCTATAGAGTTATTGCTTTGATTTCTATACCTTAGCAATCTCATCAGATTCTGAATTCATCCTTCCATTCCCACAACACCAGTACAGAAGAGTCCTAGAATTGAAGGTGAGTGTAGATCTGTTTTATGATATTACAGGACAGTGGAACATATCCAGAAATCCATTTAGTAAGAAATATTAAGGCATTTGAATGGTTAGTGTTATAATAACAAAGATAAAATGATGTGTCCTCAGACTCCTTTTCTTTCTGTTTTACATTATGTTTATTTTCTCTGTGTGTGTATTTTGGGGTGAGGTGGGTACCCACATACACAGAACATGGACGAAGTAGTGGGAGGACAATCTTCTGGGGTTGGTTCACTCTTCCACTTTGTGGGTCTGGGGATGGGTTGACCTTGGGTTGTGACTTGACGGCATGCACCTTCAACTACTGCACCATCTTGCCAGCTCCTACTGGGACTTCTTATAAATCAATTTCAACTGATGGCTGTTTTAAAAAATTAAGATTGAAAATTTTAATAAATAAGTGTAAAATTTATGAAAGTATGAAAATTTAGCCTAGACTAAGACTTTAGTTGTTGTTGTTTGTTTTTTACCCTTTTTTGGGGGCCCGCCACCTAGCTCCCAAATAAATCACTCACAGAGGCTTATTCTAAATTATGAATGTGCGGCCTTGGTTTGGCTTAGTTTCTGGCCAGCTTTCCTTAACTTATTCCGACTACCTTTTGCCTCTGGGCTTTTCCCATTCTCTAACTTCTGTAAATCTTACTCTTACTCCATGGCTAGCTGGTTGTGTAGCTGGGTGGCTGGCCCCTGGAGTCCTCTCCCATCTCTCTTCCCAGATTTCTTCTTCTATTAACCTCTCTGCCTGCCAACCCCATTTATCTTTTCTCCTGCCTTGCTATTGGCCAACTCTTTATTAGACCATCAGGTGTTTTAGACAGGCACAGTAACGCAGCTTCACAGAGTTAAACAAATGCAATACAAGCAGAAATAACGCACCTTAAAATAATATTCTGCTACATTTAGTAATTTATAGTTTGGTTTAATTTTTAGCAGAAAGGATCTAATTTTACCTGTAGTAATTTCTCAGCAGAGTTTGTGTTTCGTCCTGATGAATGAATCAATATGTTGACTTCAAGCAGTTCAATAGCTCTATTAGGCCTTTGGGCAAATGATGGTCTCTTTCTCAAGTGGAAATTTTTCTTACCTACTTATTGAAGAATGAACTAGAACCGGGTATTATATGTATAGCAGACCACTGCCAACTTACCAATAAGTGGATTGCATTTAGCTGAACCTGGGTGACACATAGCAATACTGACAGACTTGATACAAAGCAAAAAGAAATCTAAACACACACAGGAAAGACAGTCCGTTACATTATGAAACGTGGAATGCTAAAATCCAAAAAGGTATACATTTCTGAACCTGCCAATCTTCGTTATCAGATTTAATATTCACCAGATTAATGGAGATTATGTACAGAGGCCGCTGAATGAAGGCTATATAAAGAGGCAGCTTAGTATTGGTTGAGATAACCTTCAAGTACGTAGTTTGTTTGTTTGTTTGTTTGTTTGTTTGTTTGTTTGTTTATTGGCAGACTTTCTGGAAAGTGAGTGACATCTGCATCACTGACTAACATTCATTTTTATTGACTTAACTTCAGTTTATGAAGTTCCAAAGGGTTATAAGTGTGACAGTAACTGATTCACAGCGTGTTTTAACAGAGTATTGAATTTAAATTATTTACCAGTTGCAGCATAGATGTTAATTAGTTCAGACTTCTTTTTTGGAAAGTGTTTCCTAGATCTTGTCAAGACAATGAGCCTGGGTGACTGAGTCAGGGAATACTGTTCCCAGCTCACAGAATCAGAGGTGGGAATCTGAAACCAACCCAAGCCCAGGAATAAAAATTTTGGGAATTTGGAATTGAATTATGACGCTCCCAGGTGGGCTGAACTTTGGAGTCATATAGAGGTGAGGCTGGGTGGTTTACTTTGCTTCGCGTATGCAGAAGCTTTGAATGACCATGCCATATGAGTCTGAGGAGCAGCAACTATCACACCATTGACTCCAGGCAGGCAGGAAACAGCATCTCCATTCCCAACATGCCACTCACTTCCCAGCTGTCGTCCTTATACCACCATCTACTTACTACACATCCCTTCCTCTTTTGTGTAAATTAGCTAAGTGGATTTGTTCAAGTATTTTAACAGAAATTTAGCCTCCATCTACCTCCCTGAATAAAGGAATGCAGGGCTATGTAGCCGTCTTCCACTGTCCAGTTTTACATTCTCCTGTCACTTCTCTCTACAGTTCAAAGGCTACTGCAATGATCCTTGGTAATTTGGGCCAGAGGGGTTAAAAGCGGTAGCAATGCAAACCATCAGTCACATTCTGAATTGCATTTTAATAGTGGTACCAAGGGGATTTGCTGATGGCAGGGGAGAGAGGAAGAAAAGGAGCCAGACGCCCACCTCAAATTTCAGCCCGAGTACTGCAAAGGTTGATACTGTACTGCTTCATTTCCACAGTCATAACTCATGGGTAGGTAATTT